AGTCTTAAAGCTAAATCCCTTGTTAATCTTGCGTTAATACTAATTTTCAGTCGTTAGTATCGTAAGATAACAATAAATAACATTAAAATATTTTTTAAAATCAATTATATGCGAGCTGATATTATCAAAAGTCAATATGTATTACAGCAGCAATGATTTAGCAACAAATGATACATTATTCTGAAATTTTAATCATTATAAAAAACAATCATAATAAATAAAAAACTTGTAAAGTATTTATGGTATATCTCTAATGTATGATAGGTTATACTTGTAAAAAGTTATTTGTGATACATGTAATAATTATTTGTTATCATTTTTAAAAATGTATTTAAAATATTATATATCTGGCATAACCTATCATACATTAAAGTTATGCATGTTTAGTTTAAAATTACATAATTATTAATTATATCAGCCTTCTTATAATACATTTTGTACTTATAATTTTAATTCACCCATAAAATGGTAGAAAACATATCATATAGATCCATCATATCTTCAACTACTTAATATTAAATTGATTACAGTTTTATTGCATGCTACCAGTTATAAATTTGTCTAGTTAGTTTATGGTTAGGTTCATAAAACATATCATACAAATCTGTTAGTAAAAAAATACAATAGTATAAATTTATTCCAATTATATTATTTATAATAAATTTGAATTATAATATTATGTGTAGGATAATCTGCAGAAAAAATTTGATAAGTTTTGAGAAATGTATACTTATGTGAAGATGAAGAAGAAATAAACCTAAATAAAATTATTTTTAATGATTAGTTTAATACTAATGATATAGAGTCACTGAAGGATCTTTGGAAATTAAGAAATCTTTGGATTTATTAAGATTTTTGCAAACATCAAAAAATAAAAAGATAATAATAGAAAATTTAAAAAAAAGTTAGTAAATTTGAAAGTTTTTAATTAAGAAGAAAATTATAATTAACAGCATCAATATTTCTAAATAAAATATTTTATTTCATAGTTTTTTTTATTTATACTTTATAATAGGAAATAACTAAAGTAATAAACCTTAATAGTTAATATAATATAGTTTATTGGAAATTAAATAAAATAAATATAAAGTACATTTTTTTCATTATATTGATTTTAAATTTTAAATTTATTATCTTAATTTCAAATTTTAAACCAGTTTCAGTTTTGACATCAGTTTTAACTTTTGATATTAGTTCAGCTTTTGACATTAGTTTTGATTTTCAGCATTAGTTTTTGCTTTTTCATCAGTTTTGACTTTATGATTTTAGCAAATTAAAGATAATTCTAATCTAAGTTTTGATATTACTGAATTCAAACATATTTAGGTTTTGACTATTTAGTAATTTATGAAATTAATAAAATATAGATCATATAATGCTGCAGTTTGAGATTCTCATTGTAATTACTAAAACTCTTATTATACAAATATATGATACTTTTGAGTTTATAAGCTTCAATATAGCTTATATCTTCTTGATCATTTTTATTATTCATAATTAAAAGGATTTATTTTACAAATTAATTTTTAATTACTAAAAATCCATTTCTTATACTTAGAGCATAATTTGTCTTTTAATTATTTATAATATTATTGATTTCTAACTTTTCTTCTGTTATTATTTTATCTTTCTTCTAATATTATATTTCTTTTTATTAGTTTTATATTCATATAGTTTAAAATTGTCAGATTTTTATATAGCTTCAATATGCACTGAGTCAATAAACTATTTCCCTAAGTATATATATTCTATTTATACTTGTAAATATATACAATACTTATCCTAATATAAAATATTAACTATTCTATATTATATTCATATCTTAAATTATATTCTCCCTAAACTTTCTCTTTCTTTTGGTAATATTTTTTCTATAAATTCTTATAATTTCTCTTATAATATTACTTACATTATTTTTATTCTTTTAATATATATTTTTTTATATTATTATCATTTTTTTTATAATTTTTTTCTTAAGTTATTGTTATTATATTTATAATTTATTCTCATATTATCATTACTTTTTCTTATAATTCTTTTTGTCATTAATATTGTTCTTACTATAATACTTTTTTTCTTAAATTATTTCTATTTATTCATCTTAATAACTTTGATAAAATAATTCTTTATTTTTATTTAACATAATTTCATTAATATTATTCTAATTTACAATTTATATATAAATAAATAGCTGATTTATTTTCATAAATTATCGTTTAATAAATCATTTTAAATAAAAGTATTCATTTTATTTATATTTAAAATTTATTTATAAAAAATTTTTTTTTACTTGAAAAGGAAGGAATACAAATGATTGTCCTTTAATACAAATTGTCTAATATTTATATTATTTTTTCAGATTTACATTCTATTCTATTTTTTATAATTTTTACTAATTCTATTATTTCTGATAAATTTTTATTTAACTATTTTAGTAATTTACTACTTATTCTGTTTTTTTTCTCTTCTTGTGACCTCTTCTTATAACGTTTTTCATTATGATGTCATATGTTACCTTTATATTATATAAGCTTCTATGCAATTCAGTTTATTATTTTCATCTGCAATATCTTTATAAAACATATTAGACTTATTTCTTTAATTATTATTTTCAAATATTTTATGTCTTTTTAAAAGACTATCTGTTTAGTTTATTAATTATCTAACTATTTAGCTCTTCATTCAGTTCTTTAATTATCCTTTTTCTTTTAGTATTTAATTTATTCAAATTCTTTCTTTCCAAAATTTATTCTTCTTATATAACCTTTCCTTTCAGTCTATAATTTATCTGAATATTTTTCTTTCTTTAATAAAATATTATTCTTTTTTTATTATGTGATTTTTTTATGACTTTCATTATATATTTATTGTTCTTATTGTATATATTGTTGTGCTTTAAAATTATGAAATTATTGACTCTAAATTATTTATAAAGTATTATTATGCTTAGTATTTACAACATTTGATGTTATTTACAATGTTCACAAATTTAACAAAAATAAATACCAAAATGACTTATTAAGAAAATAATAAATAAAATAACAAATCTGAATTGTTATAATTATATATATGTTTGAAGATAATCAAGATAATCAAGATAATTAGGTTATAATTTTTAATTACGATTTTTTAATTAAAAAATTAAAAAAAAAAATTAAATAAAATATATATAAAAAAATTAAAAAATATAATAAAAATCAAAAATCAAATAATAATAAAAAATAAAATATTAAATGAAAAAAATTAAATTAAATTAAAAATTAAAAATTAAATTAATAAAAAAATTAAAATTTAAAAAATAAAAAATAAAAAGTTATCATCTTTACGAGTAACTTTTTCACCTTAGCAAATAACTACTTCTACAAGAAAAATTTGATCTCTTCTTATGGCAATATGGGGCCTTTGCAATAGAAAGGGGGGAAACAGCCGAAAAAATCAAAAGTGAGTTAATGCTAAATTTGAACATATTTTAGCATAAAAATCATATTTGGCATATAAAGTAAAATTAATTTTTCCTGGCAGTTTCCCCCCTTTCTATTGCAAAGGCCCCATATCTTCAGAAATTGGATTTATGATCCTTGTAACAGCGGTGAGAATGAAATCTATGATCCTTAGGATGGCCTTAAGAATGAGATTTATGATCCTAAAAACAAGATCTATGATCTCAAATTTGATGCTAATACTAGCAATAATCTATATTCTATCATCTATATCGATGACGTTAGCCATCTTAAAATAATAAATAAAATTAAAATATTGAAGTTTAAAAAAAGTAAATAATATATTTCTTATTATTATTAATAAATAAATAAATTACCAGTATGCAGCTAAAATTTATTACTTAATTCTGCATGAAATAATCGATCATATAGAGTTAAATTTGTGATTGGTTGTTTGTGGAGATTCTTTCTACCCTCTTTGGATCCTAGAGAGAGCTTGCTAGTGAAGATTCAAGGATTTTCATATTTTGCGATAATCGTAGCGATTAACTGCAGAGAAATTTATTTATTTACTAACCTTTTGAGGTTTATGTATCTGTATTTTAACGAGTACCATTTGTTTTGACATTAGGATGGATATTCCACAAATCCTCCATTATATAATACAAGGAATGTGGTTATCCATATCCTTGGATGGTGGTTATTAAAAGTGAATTCAAAATCATCATAATATTGCCACCTCAAACAAATTAATTGTAATATGGCAATTATTTGTCTGCTAACTTAATTAATAGGCGAAACATTAAATATAGTAAATTTTATAAAGAATTTATTGCCCAGAAGACATTTAGCCAAAAACATATTTGCCAAGAGATGAATTGGCCAGAAGACAAATTTGTCTGTTTGCAGTCTAATTAGATTATTTAATTAACGTAACAATATTTTAAAATTAATGTTATTATAAAGTTAGTTCCATATAATTTATTAAAAGAAACATACCAAAAGAATATTACCAAAGGTATTTATTTAATGAGAGTATCTCATAATCTTAAGCATAAAATAGACTCAATTTTTCTTGATTGCAAATTTGCTGTTGCCTGCCAAATAAACTTTAATATTATTCTACAGCCCTACATGCAAACTAGTTTCATCACTTCCACTTCGGTTAAATATTATATTTGAGAAAGTATACGATTGGATTCATATACTACAATGACAATATTATCTTTGTGGTTTCCACTGTGAAAAATGCAAATTGTACAATTAATGATGCGAAACTGATCTTGTCGAGCCTTCTCAGCGTCATCTGGAATTTCATGTAAAATTTCCTAAGGCCGCTTTCCGTACGCCGTTCGTTACTGGAAGTTTCGCAAAATGTAGCCAAGTTTTTGATTCTACTAATCTGCACGAAGAGTACTAAACCTTTTTAATATATTTCTAAGTATTTCAACTTTAGACCTTTGTTCTAGCAAGAGAATAAATATCTCTTTTTTAGTTTATATGTCAATTATCATCTGTTGCATCCTCCTAGATCGAAATGTTTCCAATAAGTGTAAGTCTTGGCCAATATTCTGAAAAATGAAACGTATATAATTATTTACTACGATAAGTCAGTTGACTGAATGATCGAGCAGGATAAAATACACTTACCAGGACATGGAATATAGTAACTTGGCAAAACTCATGTTAGCAAATTTCAAATGTCGAAACCCTATCGACAACTTTTGACGGGTTTCTTAGCAAATGTTCTCGACTTATTTATAAGAGTTTCGATAGTACCGTCGTAACAAAGGGTTTTTTACCTGTAACATTAACATGAAAGCTATTCTATTATTATTTTTTTGAAAGTGAATCAAGTCATGAAAAATTAAAAATGACAATGTAAAAAAGAATATTATTTGAGTCCAAGAATATTTATGATTAAAATTAAGTATTATTTTGCTATTTATACTATTATGTTGAATCACATTTGTTTTACGTAAACAAGACATTGTAAATATACTTTAGATGTTTCAAAAAAGTGTTGTATACGAGAAATCAGATAATCCTAGAAATTTTTAAGTGAGACGTCCACCATCAAAAGTCGGGAATATAAAAAAACTACAACACTTTCGTGAGCGAAGTCCATAGTCATCTTATGTATGTAGTTTATTCTTGAAGATACAAAATAAGGTTCTCTGAGTCCTGATAATCTCATAATATTTCCTCATAGAAATTACCTTAGTCAACTTTCTCTCCAAAAATTACAGTTTTTTGATGCATGCTGAATTAATATCCCATATGAGAGCTGAATAAATATTGCTAACGTATTTATTCTCATTGAATACAGCGTAACTTATTATCATAAGTATTTTCTGCCAATATAATGTTCGCATGAGAGCTCAAATGATATTTTTGATAAATTTCATTTGTTTTTCATTTCCGTTTAAAAATAGGACACTTGAATATGGCGGCTAATTATTTGCAAAATATCGATTACAATTAAAAAAAAAAAGTAAACTGCTTCAAAGGATATTCATAATTTGGGTGGTTATTTGTCATTTTTTTTTTCCTTCAACTACGGTTCAATATTTCAAGTGTAAAATATTAATTTTAAGTATTTAAAATATTTTCTAAAGATAAATGTTACACGAAAATATTGACCAATCATATTTATCATATTTAGTAACCCGGGCATTTTTAGTTGTGGTTATCATGGATTAATATAAAATAATAATAAAACTTCGTGCCATGCAAAACTTCAATAAAATTGACCTATATTTGATTAAAAATTCTGTTATCCCTTTTCTCTTTATGTGTCACGAAAAGTGAAAATTTTTTTTTATTTCATCACGAATTTTGAGAACGCGCAACCAATAAAATTGGAATTGTTTCGCAACATCACATCATTTTGTGTAACAAATATGAATGCATAAATAATATATATGTATTATTTTTTTTTTACAAATTAATGTTTACCGTTGTTATCTTTAATATAACTATGATAAAAATAAATTTCATCATATTATGCCATTTTATTTATTTATTAATTGAAGTAGGTTGTCAAACGACTTCTTTTAAGCCAGTACAACGAAGAAGTCATACCGCTACACTCATAGACGATAAATTATACATTTTAGGTGGAAGAAATGAAGCTTATGATATAAAAATTGGCACAGAATTTTTTTATATTGACTTCTCCGTTCCATTTAATACTCAAAATATATTGTGGCATGATTTGACAAGCGTTAATACAGTTCCAGCACATTTTGCTGCTGCATCCGTTAATGGTGGTGCAAATAATAAGACCTTATTTTTGTATGGAGGAATTCCTTATAATGAAGGCATGTCTTTAGTTTATGCATTTGATACTCGAAGTAGTTCATGGGCTCCAGAAATTTCCAGCGTTAGTATTATTAGAAAAGATAGCTTACAAGGCATTGTTGATTTTAATGGTAAAATGTATTTGTTCGGTGGACAATCGAAAAGCATTCCTGTAAATGATATGTTTATTTTAGATACTATAAATTTAAATTGGGAAATAGGAAGTTCAATTAATGCGCCTTCTCCACGAGCTGGCTATGGTGCATCTTTATTATCAAATGACCTCATTATTTATTTAGGTGATCATCTTATTCTAATAACAAATTTACAATGTTATCAATCAATAATGATAACTATAATTTATAAATATTAATTTTTTAGGTGGTTCTGATAATATTGTATTCACATCATTTAGTGAGGTGAGGTGAAATTAAATACTGTAAATTATAATATATTAATTAAAAAATATATTGTTTTAAAATAAATTTTAGGTCTACTTATATGATACGAGAAAAGATAGCTGGAGTACGAAAGTGAGTTTATAATTAATTCCTTAATCATTTCTTTCACTAGCTAAGCAGCCTTCAATTAAACTTTTGATAATTAAATTAGATCACTTCGGGTACAATTCCTTCTGATAGAGATTCTTTTTCCGCCGTTCTTGGTAATATTCTATTTATAAATGTTATTAAAATAATTGAAACCCCACCCCATTAATCACTGCATTATGATATCTTTAAGGATTGGATGTGCAGCATATAATAATTTTTGGAGGAAAAGGTTTATCGACCCAAGATATTTATGTATTAAATTTAATAAATTTCGAATGGAATATTCCAAAAGTTTCTGGGAAAATTCCTAGCTCGAGATATTGGCATCGAGCAAATGTAATAGGGAAATTTATGGTCATATCATTTGGTAAATATACTTATTATTATGTCATTTTATTATAAATAAACTATTTATAAATTATTAATTTAATTTATCAGGACGAAACTATGATCCAAAAATTGATAATGATATTTTATTACTTGATATTAGTAATAATGAAGAATACATTTGGACTAATATTTTTGATCCATCAAGTAATTCTTCAAAAGTTTCAATAAATGATACTTCTACAAAGGTTCCACCAACTTCTTCGAAAAACACATTACCAATATCAGCCATAATTGGTATAGCTATAGGATCATTGGTCGGTGGGATTTTACTATCATTTGGGGGTTCATATTTATATAAATGGAATAAAAATAGAAAGGAATCCAAATCAGCAATACCAACGCCTGGAACTTCAGGATGAACAATAATGGGCGATACTCATAATTATGGACAAATGTCTAATAATCATAATTCAGCAACCTATAGTATAGTAAAAGATCATATTGACTTGGGATTTGAAATAATTCAAGAGGTTAGAAAAATTAGATCCAAAATATAATATAAGTTAATTTATTAATTCCTATTTATAAAATTTTAAATATTATTATTCAAATATATTTATTTATAAATAAATGAGTAAATTTCTTTTATTAAGATTACTATCAAAGAAAGTCACTTTTAAACGTGGTATTTGGGAATTGTGAATTTTTCGACTAACATTAAGACCAATAATTTTAATAAAAATATCTTACGGTATCTCTAGCCAAGTATAAATAAGCATGCAAGTTGTGATAATTTATTGTTAAGAAATTTTAATATTTGAACTATATTTACCATGGATCCGTATAAAACACAGAACCTGAAATCCCTAAAGAAATAAATCTCGTTTCCCAAGTTTATCGAGATTCGAACACAATACACTTTCTCTATATCATCATTATCTAGAATATTCCGAAATCCTAACAAATTTAACGTTAAATGTCACAAATATATTTTAAGTAGTTTATGAAATTATGCGACATATAAACGATCTTTTAGCATTTAACGGTTAGTGCGTGACGTAAGTATTGTTAACCGGTAGGCTGGGAATAAAAACTTAGACGATTTCAGTAAATACAATTACTTTATCACAATCACGCCTGTGTAAAGACACGGCAAAAGGTTATAATAAAGAAGAACAAATAAAATATTTTTATTGAACTCTTGGTTTATTCACAAAACCTTATCTCGAGTTATCTTTCAATTAAGGAAAAATACATATAAAATAAACTAATAATAATAATGAGATAAATATGTCTGATGTAATATATATTTGTTGTAGGTAGGAATCTATGTGGATTCTGAATCAACCTAGGAGGATACGGAATTTTGACCAGAATTAAGATTAATTAAGATTAGTGTTGGGCAAGATCCAGTATCCACCACCGATATTCAAAATCCACAATCTAACATGTTTGATAGATTTGTCAAATAACACGTGATCAACCGCAGCACAGATCACGGCTTCCGTATTCGTCGTTGTTCACAGCTGAAAGTCTTTTGAACTATCGCGAACTAGAAGATACCATGACTTTTAGTATTTCATTTTTTTCGGAGGTTAATGGGATATTCGTGATTTGAGCTTATCGGAAGTTGGGTTTTTCAAGATTTAGTATTCCGGCTTATATTTTGTCGGGCTATAGAGATATTGTGTTCAACTTATTGATATATGGGAACTTTGCTATTAAAAATGGGTTTTGGGGACCTTTCAACAAAAAATGAGATTTTTGATTCATATTATAGTATACTAAAT